AATAGATTTATGTGTATATATTTATAGGTTTAGTATTAAGGTAGCAGATGGACAGTGGGCCTCCACTCAAGTACTCCCTCAATGCAAGAGCACTTTGTTCTATTAATCTGGCCTCTTCCAACTTCTGATGGCTGCCAGGATCCCTCTGCTTGTGGCTGCATCACTCCAGTCTCTGTCTCCAGGGTCACTTTGCTGCCCCCGCCCCGCCCCCCCCCCTTTTTTTGGTGGTTTGCATGCCAAATCTCTTTCTCTTCATCTCTTATTTTCTTTGGGGGAATTTATATATAATCTACACACTTTGATGAAGATACTAAATTTTAGCTCACGGAGAGAAGGGTATTGTGTATCTTCTTTGGTCTCCAGCCCACGCTTAGGATTTGATTCATAATTAGCCTTCTCGAAGCATCTTTTCTTGAAAGAGAACTGTTGTCACTTTAATTCATGGACTCTCAAATTTAAATGGACATTGAAGTTATAGCTAATGCTTGAGTCTATTTTACAGAAGCTCAGGCGCAGAATGGTTTATTTTCTGCTTAAAACCCTCCACTATGGAAAGCCGTTGTTATGTTGTTTGTGCTGTCGAGCCGGCTCCGACCCACAGCGGCCCTCTGTACCACAGAACCGAACCCTGTCGAGTCCCACACCTTCCTCCCAATTGTTTTATGTTGGAGCCTCCCGTTATAGCCACTGTCGCTCCATCTTGTGGAGGGTCTTCTTCTTTTTGTTTCTGACTCTACGTTATCAAGCACGATGTCTTTTTCTAGGGACTGGTCTCTCCAGATAACATGTCCACAAGACCTAAGACAAAGTTTTACCATCCTTGTTCTAAGGAGCAATCTGGCTGTACTTCTAAGACAGAGCTGTTTGCTCTTTTGGCAGTCCGCTATACCTTCAATGTTTTTCACCAGCACTGCAAATTCAAATGTAATGTTCACATGCATATGGGGCGATGGAAAATATCATGGCTTGGGTCAAGGATGGGCACCCTGGTGGTTAGTGGTTATGTGTTGGGCTGTGATACCCAAGGTCAGTAGTTTGAAACCACCAGACACTCGAAGGGACAAAGATGGGGCTTTCTAATCCTGTAAACAGTTAAAGTCTCGGAAACTCACAGAGGCAGTTCTACCCTGTCCCATAGGATCTCTGTGACTCAGCATCGAGTAGATGGTAGTGGGGTTGAAGCAGGTTCACCTGAGTCCTCAAAGTAACACCCTTGCTTTTTCAACACTTCAAAGAGGTCTTGTGTAGCAGATTCACCCAATGCAATGAATGGGAAGTTAGGGACCTTTCAAGGTAGTCTAAACTATTGTTGGACGACTTTTTATTGTAGAAAATTCTTATATAAGTTGAAGCTCTTTGCAGCTCTCCACCCTCTGGTCCTGAATTTACTCAGCAGGTGACCTAGAGTCTGTGTCATCCTTCCAGAGACCAGCCACCAACTTCTGTAAAAGTCTCCTAGCTTGCCTTTGTTGCTGTGTGCTGGTGAAGACCTTGTGGAGAGGCCTTTCACTGCTGGTTGTGAAACAGACAGTGCCGTTCACATTCTAGTGGCTAGCAAGTCAAGTGCATCTTGTGTGTCTCTTTTTCTGTTCACAGGCAGCTGAAGAAGTTGGATGAAGATAGTTTAACGAAACAACCAGAAGAAGTGTTTGATGTCTTAGAGAAACTTGGAGAAGGGTGAGTATATAGAAAACATTGGCAGACCAGTTGGTTGCAGTGTCAGCTCGCAGAGCTAAGAAAAGGAAGGGGAGTTTTGCCCGTCATCTTGGCTGCTGGTGGGTGGGAGGTAAAATCTTCAGCTTGACATGCTCCCTCCCCATCTCTGCTTCCCACAGACTTCGAGATTTCTCTTCCTTTTCACACCAGGGGCCATCTGTTGTTCTCTGTCCCCCAGAAGCCATGGCTTGAAAGATTCAATCTATTTAAAACATTGCACTTAATAGATTGTAATTCATTTCTAAATTCATCAGACCTTTTTATTGGTTACTCATAGCTTCTGATGGTTCTTGGCGATTGTTTCAATAAAAGAGAAAAGAATTTCATATCTAAATCAGTGCAGCTCTGTGAAATATAATATATCAATTAGCAGGGTTCCAGTTTTTCTGTGGGAGCAGGACATGAAATATTAGGGACTTCCTTCCTTTTTTTTTTAAATCATTTTATTGGGAGCTCATACAACTCTTGCCACAATCCATACATCCATCCATTGTGTAAAGCACATTTGTATATTTGTTGCCCTCATCATTTTCAAACCATTTGCTCTCCACTTAAGCTATCAGCTCCACATTTGAGTTCCCATTCTTAAGATTTTTTTTTT